CATCAATGTTTAACATCTTGATCAAGAAATTCAGCCTCAAAATTTTAAAGACGGGGTAATGAGTTGGGTTGTCGTTCCTTTAATTGTTTTTTAAATTGGGATGGCGAAGACAATTATTAATAATAGTAATAATAAAATTCGGCTATCATTATTCTAATTTTCTAAAATCTAATCTAAAATATTATAATGACGAATGAAGGTTATACCCTTTTCGGAATGGAATTTTTGTTGGTGTACCTCTATAGCATTATTAGGTTGTAAATTCTGCTATAGTTCTTGTACCGTCGGTATTTGCTCCGTCATATCCTTAAGCTTCTGTTAATCCCCCTCTAACGTGTCTGTGTATGTATTTCTTTCCGTCTGCGTCTTTTTTACTTCCAACTAATCCGAGCACCGAAAAGACGAAACCCAAAAGACTAAACATGCTTTCCCCTACAACAAAACTGTAGTGCAAACCAGTCACCTCATTTCCATCTCCTGGATATATACACCGCCAAAGCTAAAATGACCCGACCACCGTGCGTGAATTTCTTGGCCATCACTCTCCACCGCACTCGCCGGCCAGTATCCCTCGTCAGTCCGCTGCACTTATTGGTTGTCTGTACCATCATTATTCGATCGCTCCAGTCCAAACGAAAATCCATTTATGGTATGACTAAATTCCTAATTTGAAATTGATTGTATTTTTTATTTGAACTCAATACCTTTTGGGATGAATTGCGATCTATCATTCCCTATTATGCTCCTCTTATTGCAACAAGTCACGGTACAAGTCATTTGTCGTCCTCAAATTTGATTCTTTTTAACTTTTTATTCATGTTGATTCAATTCTACAATATTTTCTGCGTTCCTCTTGTACAACGTACAAGGTTTTCCAGTTCACCGGTTGAATCTTTTTTTTTCATCAGGTTTTACTTTCATTATATGTAAATTTTCCACATAAATTAATGTAGGTAGATGAATTTCATCATTAATCCATATGGTTGTACGTGAGTGTGTGGTGTGGTGTGGTACTGTGGTGTGGTGTGTGTTGATATTCAAACCTCCCACACTTACTTATATCCACAATTTTGTAAACTAATGAAGCAGAAGTGAAGGTAGACACTTAATTGTAGACAACCTATCTTGTAATTTGTAAACAAATGATAATGTCCATCGCTCTCCAAGTCTCCATTGCACAAGCCGGACAATATCCCTTACCAGGGCCCCCTGCGCACATTAGTTGTCTGTATTATTATTATTCGATCGCTCCAGTCCAAACGAAAAATGCATTTAAATCCATTTACGGTATGACTAAATTCCTAATTTGAGATTGATTCTATTTTTAATTTGAACTACGGAGTATAATTTTTTTTGCAATGAATTGCAATATAACTTTCTCTATTTTGCTCCTCTTTTTGCCGTGAGTCATTTACCGTCTTCAAATTTGCATATTCTTTTTAACTCTTTATTCATGTTGATTCAATAATATTCTCTCATACAACTTGGTTTCCAGTAGAATCTTTCTTGTTTTCACAGATGGATCTACATCTTGAAAACTTATAAGAGTGAATGAGAGTAAGGCTCACTTATGATTAAAAAATGCGTTGGTTTAATACTATTGCTAAATGTGCTTGTAAATTACACTTTCGGTTTACTAGGTTACAGCTAATACCCCTTTGTATTTGTCTTCCTTTCGTTGACGTCATTACCGCACATGTCCGCTTCTAGGCCTACCTTCCAATGAGGTTAGTAGATAACTGGAATCGGGAGTCACAAAGGGAGTGTTGCTTTCGAGTTTCATGCCCATATTAGCCGTGTCATCACCTTATGGCATGTATATTCTCTCCAACTTATTGATATCATTCAAGTTTTCATTTAATTTCAAGTTTTCATTCAATACATCCTCTAATGCTTTGAGTTTTAATTTGTGATGCAAATTCTATATTCTTAATTTTTAATTTACCTACTATTCTGATTATGGTTTCTATTTTTGGTAGATGGTGAGTTGGGTTATATATGAATCAGGTCTGGCTTTAATTGAAGGAAGATCTTTTAAAAACATAATACTGTTTGTGAATAATCTTAACTAGGATTTCATATGAGATTTTTTGCAGACCATATGCACTTATAACATGTTAAAGAAATTGTCCAAATGAAGTCGTGCATTGATAAGTGGATAGTTTCATATTGATGGTTGCTATCTGCTAATGTTGCCACTATTGTGATTATGGTTTCTATTTTTGGTAGATTATGAATTGGGTTATATTTGAATCAGGAGCAGGCTTTAATTGAAGGAAGATTTTTTAAAACATGCTACTGTTTGTGAATAATCTTAATTAACTAGGATTTCGTATGAGATTTTTTGCACACCCATATGCACTTGTAACATGTTAAAGAAATTGTCCAAATGAAGCCGTGCATTAATAAATGGATAGTTTCATATTGATGGTTGTTATATGCAAATGTTCCCACCATCCTTTTAGGTTTTTTGATCTAACTTACCAATTCAGTTGTACTCTAGAGAAATCACTTTATACCAAAGTATGAGAGTTTGTTGAGAATACTCTTGATTCTGCTGAATCAATAACAATGTATGTTAGCCTTTTTGAAGTTATGCATTTCTTGTAGCTTAATAATAACTATTAAGAAAATTCAGCGTATAAATAAAATTAAAATTTGGGCCTTGATCCTTTTCGTTTTTATATAGTGAGGAGGCAGCGAGATCAAAGTTTACTTCGTTGACTGTCCTGGTTGATCATCAAAGGGTCGGTGCAGAGCAAGATGATGATTGTGACACAGTAAAGGCTAGACTTTGCACAAAGTTCATTACGGTAAATGTTGTTTATGCTTTGCACTTTGGAAGATTGAGCGGGGCCAAAAATAAGTCAGTCCTACATACCTTAATCAACCAATAAGAGTAATCTCTTATGACACCTTTGTGTAACTATCAGGAATCTGAGTAATCCAATACTTGTGTGCATAGTTAACGTAATGGAAAAGGATTCTTTCCAACATAATCTTTGTCTCAGTTTGTCTATTTAGCTACAAGATGTTTTCCCCAAAACTGTCAACTTTTATATTTCGTAAAAACAAATAGCTCTATATGACCAAAAAAATACCCCTTAAATTAGTAGATGAAATGAACAATATGATAGAGGAACATATTTTCCCTTACTGGAACAAACATGTTTTTTGTCATCAATGAGTAAATCTTCAATCTATTTCAGATAAGTCTATGTTATTTCCATATATCTATTTCCATATTTCAGATGAGTCTGCTATGTTCATTTTGTATTTTATTTTTTGCTTTTCATATTTTTATTTAAAATGGATATACCTGACTTTATACCTCAGTTTTTTACTCTATCTTTAAGTTTCAGGCGTGTAATGGCACTGGGTTAGAGAGTTATGTATAAAATTCATAATCTGAAACACCACTCTGCAGATAAGATATTTTATTGGGCCCGTTTTTATAAAGTGTGAATTTGTGAAACGCCACTCAGGTTCCTATTTTTGCATTCCAACCAACTGCTTGGTTTATTCTCTTATTTTTCCATTTTGCCGATTTATGGAGTATATATTTTATCTCCAAGTCCTGATTTTGCAGAGTCTATTGGTATTCTTAAGAATATATTTTAGAGCTTTTTAAAGTTGCATCAGTTTGATTATTGTGATGTATATAAAACAATCCTCTTTTACTGTGATGCATACTTATTCTCAATGACAAGGTGTAATTTAGGATGTGTTGGCCCTCCAAATACTTCTATGTAGGTCAATGGTACGCTCAAGCTTAGATTCATTCTCTAAGGGTTTTCAAAAGCTTTCTTAAATAAGGAAATTATCTAACTTATAACAAAATCTTATTAGATTAATTATAATTTTAATTTCGCTTATGGAACCTACAATATGTTTTGGTCGAGAGTAGTGACGGGCTGATTGTTAAAGATGTTGTTGCTGCTGCAGTAAATCTTTTAAGTATGCATCATGTTTCGGATCAAGATCTTTCCAGAGCCGTTTGATTTGCTGATACGGGAATTTGTTGGTGGAAATGGGGGTGGAGGTGTCTTCCTTAAGGGCTATGGAGGGGAAGGTTCTGGAGGGAGAACAAGCAGGAAAAGAAACTGGATTGTTATTGTTATGGGAATCATGGTCATTGTAGGTCTCACCTTGTCATTGGCATTGCGAAAAGAGCTCGATTTAGATATGGTGATTGGTGTTTTGGGGTTATGCCTATTTTTGCTGTCAGTCAATGTGTGGAGAAGAAGGGTTTTGGATTGGGTTTTGGGGTTCTGCTGTTGTGCATTTGGAGGTTGTCTTCAATGAAGATTTACAGAGAGGGATTAAGTTTCTTGAGGCAATGAGGATTTCCAAGATAAGGAAAAGAAGATGTTCTTGAGAAGAAGGAGAGTGTTCTCGAGGTAAGAAATTCTTCATTTTTGCACTAAGAGGAATTTTCAATTATGTGCTTAAAGTGTTCGCTGATTTGCGGCTGTGAGATGTGCCAACCAAGTATATATGTCAATGGAGCTCCATGATTTTCATATAGATATTAATAGCAATGAGGACTTTGTTTTTATTCTATTATTAGTGAGAATGCAGATTTTTTTGCCTGATATAATAGTAGCCTATCACGAATGATATTATATTGGGAGTTTACATGGCAAGTAAACCAAGAAAAAGTAGAATTACAACATTAGTATTACATATGGATTATTGAGAGAGACCGAGAGAGTATTACAACCAAATACAGTGAGAAAAATATTATAAAAATTTGAGATAAACAAGACAAGATGGATGGTGCATGTATGTGGTAATACCATTACCTGTTGTATAGATTCGCGTCCTATACAAACTCTATTCACCATTTACCTACAAATGTAATTATTTATTCATTTATTCATTACGAAAACATTAACAATTTCTCGATAAAAAATGTATTTCTAAACATTTATTCCCGACAAATGTATTTGATAGAATAATTAATTCTAGAGAGAAGAGAGAGCTAGAGAGATAAAGTGATATGTATAAAATGAATTTCCAATCAACCATTCAATCATCCTTTTACATGGCTCCCATAGGGAGTATTTATAGGAGAAAAGAGGGTTGGGCTTCCAGGTTTGGGCCTGGAAGGCCCAACTACAATAAAAGGCCAATAAATGGCTAATAAATGGTATCTAATCTATTCTAATGGATATACATGAATAAAATAGAGTGTACAATGAGATAAATGCTATCTACTGAGCGTATGTGGGCCGCTGTCCGGGCCCAACAGTCGTGAGACCCGGGGGTCCGAGTCTATATACTCTATCAGGAGTCCCCCACTCTCTGAGTCGAGAGTACTCGAGGCGAAAGAGAGTAGAACTGTGTGCTGATCTGTCGTCGTCCGGTGAGTAAACTGCTGTCGTCGTCGAAGCGCCTCGCCCGGATTCCCAAGCTGATGATCCGATCCCACTGGTGAGCCCTGGCTGAGGCAACCCTGTGGGAAAATCCTCAGCCGAAGGTCGCAGGCCAGAGACCATCACCACCGGTCCTGAGGCCGGGGAGCTATGTATATGTACTGGCCGATGTGGCAGCTGAATATGTATGTGATATGATGATGTCGTCGGTGCGAGTGGCAATCCTTGCAAAAATTTTGAATTTCTGCTTCTTTGGTAGTGAAGGCGCTAAGTCCCCCGCTCTCCCAGTCCCCCACTCCTTGAGGCGAGTGTAACGAGGTGAAGAGGAGTAGAGTAATGCATGTCTGATGATGTCTGCAACAGGGGGCCGAGGGTTGACACCTTTTGATCCACAATGGGGCGATGCCTCGTTAAAAACCTCATTAGGAAAAACCCTGTGGGAAAAAATCCTAATGAGGGAAAAAGAGTACATCGGATGCCCCCAGAACGAAGCAAAAGGTGCGAGCCCTTCGGCCTAGAGGTGGAGCTGCAGCGGTGTCCGTCTGCCGAGGGGATGGCCGAGGCCGATCCATAGATGTGGGTAGCTCGTCATGATCAGTAGTCCTAGTCATCAAATAAAGATGACTAAGGGATGGGTCGAGCGACCGTCCATAATATGATGTCTAGTTCATCAAATAAAGATGACCAGAATATGAGGCCGATGGGCCGATGTGAGCTCCACGTCATCAAATAAAGATGATTGGGAGTAGTGGCCGAGAGGCATATATGAGAGCTCCACGTCGTCAAATAAAGACGAAGGGGCGATGTGTGGCCGAGGGGCCTGGATAAGAGCTCCACATCGTCAAATAAAGACGACGGGGCGATGTATGGCCGAGGGGCCTGCATAAGAGCTCCACGTCTTCAAATAAAGACGACGGGGCGAGATATGGCTCAGAGGCCTATAGATGTGTTCCTCGTCATCAAATAAAGATGACAGAACGATATGTGGCCGATGGGCCTGTAGATGAGCTATTCGTCATCAAACAAAGATGACAGAATAATATATGGCCGATGGGCCTGTAGATGAGCTCTTCGTCATCAAATAAAGATGACAGAGCGGTATATGGCCGATGGGCCTGTAGATGAGCTCTTCGCCATCAAATAAAGATGACGGAGCAAGATATATGGCCGATGGGCCTGTATGAGAGCCCTTCGTCATCAAATAAAGATGCTAGAGCAAGATGTGGCCGAGGGGCCTATAGATGAGATCTGAGATCCTTTAGTCTCTGAGCCGGAGACCGCAAGATGTTTGCTAGATCCGAACATGAGGATGAGGCATTGGACGCCTGTCTGAATATGAGGATGAGGCGCTGGGCGCCTGTCTGAATATGAGGACGAGGCGTTGGACGCCTGTCTGAATGTGAGGACGAGGCGTTGGACGCCTGTCTGAATATATGCGGACGAGGCGTTGGACGCCTGTCTGAATATGAGGACGAGGCGCTGGACGCCTGTATGAATATGAGGACGGGGTGTGGGACGCCTGTCTGATGATACGATGATGAGGCAATGCTGAGCCGATCATCATATAGAGGCGACGGTCGCCATCCAGGAGGGGATGGCGAGCCCGATCGCTAACCGAAGACATTTGGCAATGAGAGGCCGGTCTTCGGAAATAGGACATCACATCGTGGCCTAGGGGCCGATCGTGATGTGAGGACGGCCGTGATCAGGAGCCGATCCAAAATAACAATGACGAGGCGATGATAAGCCGGTCGCCATGTAGGGGCGATAGTCACCATCCAGGAAGGGATGGCGAGCCTGATCGCAAGCTCAACACACTCGGCGCTGATGAAGCCGGTGTTGAGATAGATCATCACGCCGAGGCCGGGGCGGCGGTCGTGATATAAGGATGGCGATAATGGGTAGCCGATCCGAATAATGATGACGAGGCAGAGATGAGCCGGTCGTCATGTAGAGGCGACGGTCACCATCCAGGAAGGGATGGGGAGCCCGATCGCTAGCTCAACACACTTGGCGCTGATAAAGCCGGTGTTGAGATAGGGCATCACGTCGAGGCCGGGGGGTCGATCGTGATGCGAGGTCGTCAGCACTATGAGGCTGAGCCAAACGTCCAAGCAACGGTCGCCATCCGATGAAGGAATGACTGAGACCGGTCTTGGGGAATATGATCACGTCGAGGCCGAGGGCCTGCCATGATCGGAACTGAGGGGCCGACCCAAAAATCCATGCAATGGTCGCCACCCAGTAAAGGAATGGCTAAGACCAGTCTTGATATAAGGTACCGCGCCTTGGCCGAGAGGCCGGCCGCGATGCGAGGATGACGACTATGATAAGCCGGTCCAATGTATGATGACGAGGCAATGATAGGCCAATCGCCATGTAGAGGCGACGGTTGCTATCCCGGAAGGGAATAGCAAGCCCAATCGCTAGATCAAGACACTCGGCGCTGAGGGAGCCGGTCTTGAGATAAAGCATTACGTCGTGGCCGAAGGGCCCGATCGTGATGTGAGGACGAAGATGCTGAGGAGCATGTCCGAGATATGATGACGAGGCAATGATAAGGCCGATCTTCATGTAGAGGCAACGGTCACCATCCAGGAAGGGACGGCGAGCCCGATTGCCAACTCAAGACGCTTGGCGATGAGAAGCCGGTCTTGAGAAGGAATAATCACACCAAGGCTGGGAGGCCGGTCGTGATGTGCGGATGGCGATGATGATGAGCCGATCCGAATAATGATAATGACGAGGCGGAGATGAGCCGATCGTCATGTAGAGGCGACGATTGCTATCCCGGAAGGGAATAGCAAGCCCAGTCGCTAGCTCAAGACACTTGGCGCTAAGGGAGCCGGTCTTGAGTTAGATCATCACGTCGAGGCCGGGGGGCCGATCGTGATGTGCGGATGGCGATGATGATGAGCCGATCCGAAGATCCAAGCAACGGTCGCCATCCGGGAAGGGATGACTAAGACCGGTCTTGAGATAAGGTATCACGCCTTAGCCGAGAGGCCGGACGCGATGTAAGGACGACGGCGATAATGAGCCGGTCCAACATATGATGACGAGGCGATGTGAAGGCCGATCGTCATAGAGGCAACGGTCGCCATCCAGGAAGGGACGGCGAGCCCGATTGCCAACTCAAGACACTTGGCAATGAGAAGCCGGTCTTGAGGAGAAATAATCACGCCAAGGCTGGGAGGCCGGTCGTGATGTGCGGATGGCGATGAGGAGCCGATCCGGATAATGATGACGAGGCGATGATGAAGCCGATCGTCATATAGAGGCAACGGTCACCATCCAGGAAGGGACGGCGAGCCCGATTGCCAACTCAAGACACTTGGCAATGAGAAGCCGGTCTTGAGGAGAAATAATCACGCCAAGGCTGGGAGGCCGGTCGTGATGTGCGGATGGCGATGAGGAGCCGATCCGGATAATGATGACGAGGCGATGATGAAGCCGATCGTCATGTAGAAGCGACAGTCGCCATCCATGAGGGGAATGGCGAGCCCGGTCGCTAGCTCAAGACACTTGGCGCTGGGGAGGCCGGTCTTGAGATAAAGCATCACGCCGAGGCCGGGGGGCCCGGTGGTGATGAGCGGATGGCGATGATGATGAGCCGATCCGGATAATGATGACGAGGCAATGATGAAGCCGATCGTCATATAGAGGCGACGGTTGCTATCCCGGAAGGGAATAGCCAGCTCGGTCGCTAGCTCAAGACACTTGGCACTGGGGAGGCCGGTCTTGAGATAAAGCATCACCCCGAGGCCGGGGGGGGGGGGGGGGGGGCGGTGGTGATGAGCGGATGGCAATGATGATGAGCCGATCCGGATAATGATGACGAGGCGATGATGAAGCCGATCGTCATATAGAGGCGACAGTTGCTATCCCGGAAGGGAATAGCTAGCTCGGTCGCTAGCTCAAGACACTTGGCACTGGGGAGGCCGGTCTTGAGATAAAGCATCACGCCGAGGCCGGGGGCGGTGGTGTTGAGCGGATGGCGATGATGATGAGCCGATCCAGATAATGATGACGAGGCGATGATGAAGCCGATCGTCATATAGAGGCGACGGTTACTATCCCGGAAGCGAATAGCTAGCTCGGTTGCTAGCTCAGGACACTTGGCGATGAGAAGCCGGTCTCTGAGAAGAAATAATCACGCCAAGGCTGGGAGGCCGGTCGTGATGTGCGGATGGCGATGATGATGAGCCAATCCGAATAATGATGACGAGGCGGAGATGAGCCGATCGTCATATAAAGGCGACGGTCACCATCCAGGAAGGGATGATGAGCCCTGTCGCTAGCTCAGGACACTTGGCGATGAGAAGCCGGTCTCTGAGAAGAAATAATCACGCCAAGGCTGGGAGGCCGGTCGTGATGTGCGGATGGCGATGATGATGAGCCAATCCGAATAATGATGACGAGGCGGAGATGAGCCGATCGTCATATAAAGGCGACGGTCACCATCCAGGAAGGGATGATGAGCCCTGTCGCTAGCTCAGGACACTCGGCGATGAGATGCCGGTCTCTGAGAAGAAATAATCACGCCAAGGCTGGGAGGCCGGTCGTGATGTGCGGATGGCGATGATGATGAGCCAATCCGAATAATGATGACGAGGCGATGATGAGCCGATCGTCATAGGAAGCGACGGTCGCCATCCAGGAGGGGAATGGCGAGCCCGGTCGCTAGCTCAAGACACTTGGCGCTAAGGAGGCCGGTCTTGAGATAAAGCATCACGTCGTGGCCGAGGGGCCGATCGTGAAGAACGGATGGCGATGATGATGAGCCGATCCGGATAATGATGACGAGGCGATGATGAAGCCGATCGTCATATAAAAGTATGACGGCGTTGGGGAGGCCGTTCATGAGATGATGGAGCAAGAGCTTCGGCATTAGGAGCCGGTCTTGAGATGAATAATAAGTTTGGGGAATTTATTTATTTTTATTGCTCGAGGCCGGCAAGTGCGCGGTCCGTCGGCTTCCCTCTTTTTTTTTTTTTTTTTTTTTTTGGATGGCCGAAGGGTTACTGTCCCTTCGTCCATGTGCGGTATTTTGTCCGCTACGCTTTTCGCGTGGATTAGTGCGAGGGAGTAAATACGCCCTCGGCTTGGTATGTCAGTGGCATCCTTTTTTGCCTTTCCACGTCTATCGGCGACGAGGGACCGGACTAGGCTTCGTCTTTTGACGGCCGCCCTTTGTGGTCCTGAGCGAAATTTTACTGACGGGTGGAGTTTTTGTAACCTCAGCCTTAATTCAGGCCTGTCGTCCTGCGGTTTCCGCGCGGACGACGCGGTATGCTTCTCCGTTTGAAGACGTCGGACCATACACACAGGTCCTTCGTCCTGCATATCGCCGGCCGATTTGGGTGTTTCACCGCTTGTGCCGATACGATATTTAGGTGCGTTGTTTATTGCAACGGCTTTGTAGGCGCGTTGTGGATCGCAACGGCCTTAGGTGCGTTGTGTATTGCAACGGCTTTGGGTGCGTCGTTTATTGCGACGGCTTTAGGTGCGTTGTTTATTGCAACGGCTTTGAGTGCGTTGTTTATTGTAACGGCTTTGGGTGCGTCGTTTATTGCGACGGCTTTAGGTGCGTTGTTTAGTGCAACGGCTTTTGGATGACGCAATTAGCGTGTAGGGGAATGAGGTGTACCGCTTCTAGGCATGATGTCGTGTGCGGCTGTTGATGGCTCTCATTCTAGATGCCCGGGTCATCAAATAAAGATGACCATGGTAGGTCAATGGACCCAAATATGATCCGAATCATCAAATAAAGATGTTCGGAAGGTTAAGGCTTTGGCCCGCACCAATTGGGGATTTTAATCCGCTAGCAACGGTGATAATAATAATAACGGTAGTAATTATTATTATTATTTTTGTTTTGAATAGTTAGTAAAACTATTTTTTCCGGAATAGTAGTAAAACTATACTTTTTTTTTTAATAGTGGTAAAGCTATTTTGCTCCATATTTAATGCATAAAATAGGAGGAAAAGTTTGTGAGACTTACTTGTATTTGGGCCGAAGCCTGCCCTGCTTAGAATTCAAGCAGGGAAATATAATATTGGGCCTGCTCTTTGAGAAGTCCAGCCTTTGAGATTAAATAGCTGGCCCGTTGCTGATTTGATTTTGAGTTTTTAGCCCAGCGTAGCTCGCTTGCGAGGAATACAGAGAAGGAGACGGTGCGTCCTTTGTTTGTGAGGAACGCGGAGAAGAAGACGAAGCGACTTATTCGCCAGATGCCATGGGGATTGCCGCCTGCTGCGATCGCCGATGAAAGGGGCAGAGATCTCCGCCAAACCGACCTGCTTTTACGAAGAGACTGCCTGAGGCGACGCATCAGTTCGTCAGGCAGGCTGGGTGAGGCGATGTGTCGCCGGCCGCCGGGTTTTGACCGAGGCGAGGCCAATGGCCGATGGGTTCTGGCCGAGGCGATTCCAATGGCCGATGGTGACTGATTTTGCAGGTTTGGACGGAGGTCCTGTTTGGCAGAGGTGACCCAGAGTTCCTGATTTGGTTGAAGAGTCTGTGAATTGGAGCCGATGGGAGCTGCTGGATGTTGGAATTGATCCGTAGCCTGCCACGCTCCCTCAGCTTTTGTCATTTTCCTTTGATTCGCATAACCTTGACCGAAGGTGTAGCAGGAGGTTATATGAGTAGAGTGTTGTTGGCCTTTGTTTTGCTTCTAGGCCGAGGGAGCATGCTGCCGCAGCCAGGGCCGAGGCGGTACCACGTCGTACGTAATGTGGAGCTATGGACGAGGGGGTTACCTTCACTCTGGCCGAAGGTGGATGCTTTGCCGAAGTGAGCCTGTCTGGAGCGGAGTCCCTGTTTTGGCCGATGCGGTCCAGACGATACGGTTGCTTGACGAGGTGGCCTGTTTTGGCCGATGCGGTCCGGCCGATGAGGTGGCTTGACAAGGCGGCCCTGTTTTGGACGATGCCGTGTCCCTCTTTTTGACCGGTGCGGTGCGTGGCCGAAGCATTGCCTGCCGTTGCGGTGCGTCGATGTGTTGCCGGCCGAAGTGGTGCCGGCCGATGGATGACAGCCGATGAATGTTGGCCGATGAAGAGCCGATCGATGAGGAGCCGGCTGATGCATTGCGGCCGATGCGGGTGGCCGATGTGGTCCCATCCGTTGTGTGGGGTGCCGGCCGATGGGAATGCCGGCCGAAGGTGCTATTGGCTGATGATGCGCTGCCAGCTGTTGGTACAGTGCTGGCTCCTCAGAGTTGAGGAATGAGGCCGGGGCTTTCTTTGGCCGAAGTGGTGCAGAACTTTGGCTATTTCTGCCAACTTGGAGGTGAGAGCCGGTTCGGTGGAGTCCGCTGCGGCAATCCGGCCGAGGGTGGAGCACCACTTGGCCGAAGGGGGTATCAGTGTATCACTATCGCTTCCAGGTTGAAGGGATGACGGTCGCTGACTAGGGGATGTTGAGGCGTCACACAGCTAGGATTCCTTGCTTGGACGAGGGATGCTGTATCGGTTTGATCCAGGAGATACCTTAGTTGTTATCAAATACTAGTAGTAATGGGATTGACCGTGGCCTGCCATGCTCCTCTTAGCCATTTGCTTTTATGATTTAAGCCATTGTGTCATTTTTCTCCTCAGCCGATGGGGCACGTTGCACAGCAACAAGGGCCGAAGTGGTAGTGTGGTACTATGCCATTGGCTGAGGGTCCCACCCACTTCTTGCTAGCTCTCTTTGTTCGGTGGCAGGGCTTTCCTTTAGGTCGAGGAGTACACATGAGATACAAGAAAAGGTAGCATGTTTCCTCCAATAAGGAGTAAGGACGAAGTGATACCTCGTGGATTATTCACTTGTTGGTTGGGAGGATCTCACTTGATGTGTTCTAGCTCTCAATGAAAGCACCAAATGATAGAATAATTAATTCTAGAGAGAAGAGAGAGCTAGAGAGATAAAGTGATATGTATAAAATGAATTTCCAATCAACCATTCAATCATCCTTTTACATGGCTCCCATAGGGAGTATTTATAGGAGAAAAGAGGGTTGGGCTTCCAGGTTTGGGCCTGGAAGGCCCAACTACAATAAAAGACCAATAAATGGCTAATAAATGGTATCTAATCTATTCTAATGGATATACATGAATAAAATAGAGTGTACAATGAGATAAATGCTATCTACTGAGCGTATGTGGGCCGCTGTCCGGGCCCAACAGTCGTGAGACCCGGGGGTCCGAGTCTATATACTCTATCAGTATTTATTCAACATTTCCCGATAAAAAAATTACATAATGTGTGTTCAGTATAAAGAAAAAATACATTCTATTTATTTTATTTGGTCATATGTGAATATGTTTCTACCATTTCATTTATCTTTATCCTATGTTGTAAGATGAATTGACTTTTACTAATTTCTCTCATCCTTATTCTTATGAAGTCTCATCCCGCACGTGATTGGAATGGTTTCGCACCCAACAATATATGTATACCATCAATTATTACTTCTGATCTTATTATTAACACACCAGGTGTCTTTCTAGGATAGATATCATTTAGACGATTGCATGTAATAAATGATATTGGGCATTTTCTCACACGCGCATCGCGCGTCGAGAAACTAGTTCTTTTATAGATGGCTTTGCTAATTGTGAAAGAAAAATTTACACGTGACTAATACCGTAGTATAACATTTAAGGATTGATTAGAAAGGAAAGGCACAAAGTCCAAAGTTTTACTTTGAAATAGAGTAGTGTTTCATCTTCTTATATCTCATTCAAAAAGTATGAATTTTTAGTATGAACTTTTGAAAATTAGAGTCTAAATATGAGATAAATGTACTTTAGTGCCTTAATAAGCCTTCTCTAAATTAAAATACCCCGATGTAGGAAGGATTCAGGGCCGTTTTTTAGGGGGGTCAATAGGTTATCCAGAACAGGGCCCCCAAATTTGTGGGGCCCCAAATTTTTAAAATTTTATTAATATTATATTGTAATATTATATACTAATACTAATCACTAAAATATAGTTACCTAGTAAGGAAGAAAAATGTAGATCTTTAAAACTTTAGATTGAGTATATAAGTATTTATTTAGATTGAGGGGGTTTTAAAACTTTTTATATTAATGTGGGGCCCCGTTTTTAGATTTTGAACCGGGGCCTCCAAATTTATTAGACGGCCCTGGAAGGATTGTTTAGAGAAGAAGAGTATATCGTTGATTTAAATGTTATCTTCTTTTTTTTTGACAAAAATGTTATCTAATTCCAAAAGCTTCAAGATTTATGATGGTTAATAAAATAAGAATACTAGGCTAACCTCACTTATGTAGTGCGACGCAAGAGAAAATGGATGTCATGTAAGCATTATATCATCTTATGCATAAAAACATGTAATCAATTGGTACGTCATCTATGAAAAGTAGAAAATAAAGTTTGAAAAACATGATATAAAAATTCTGTCCTAATGGAAGAAATGACGAAGGGAGGAAACCGTGAAAGAATTACTAAAGAACTTTTATAGAAGAATTAGAAGGGAAAGAATGACAATAAGGGGTAATAGAATGAGATGAACAGCTTACACTTCCAAACCCGTGCAAAAAAAGTATACCCCGGAGTAGTAGTGTTTCCACACTGTATTATATTTTGGCAGCTATCTATAGATAATACAATTCAAGGTTACAATTAGGGAAAGTTTTGCCATGTGTCATCTTCTAAAGCAAGGATTCATTATAATATTCTAGATTCTCTTTCTAAATTAGTATATTAATTAATTAATTAATTAAAAATACTTCGTTACATGTATTCAACTTGGATTCGTAGGCTAATTTTTAGAACAAAGTTATTATAGGTTGAATCCTACGTAATATGTAGTACCAATGTTTAATTCATAAAGTCAAGTAATTCAAAAAATAAAATCTCATATTTATTTTAAAGTGCTATAACTTTTTTTATTTGTACTCTAATTGTTACAAAAAATATGTCATAATTTATAAATTTTTATTATCTTTCATATGACACCAATATTGAATATATAAAAATAAAATGCAACAAAACTTAGAAAATGGATGTTTTAGTGTTAAATTGTTTTTTATTTTTATATATTCAATATTGGTGTAATATGAAAGATAATAAAAAATCATGAATTTAGATTTATTTTTTTTAACAATTGGAGTACAAATAAAAAAGTTACAGCACATTAAAATAAACATGAAATTTTATTTTTGGGACTTCTAATCAAACATGACAAAATTTTCATAATTTATAATTGTATTTTGATACTTTGAAAATAGTACGAAGTAGTTTGCGTATTCTTTGTAATACATATACGACATGAAATATTATGAGTAATAAAAAGCTATTATAAATTAAATTTAGGTACATATATTTCAAATGTAAAACAAGTAGAACATTTTTTAAAGTCTCAATATAAATACTTATTTACAATAATTTTAAAAATACAATTAGGAATGATGGAACTTTTGTCATGTTTGATTAGAATTAAATAAAGTGCTGTACATTATTTATGTGAAATTTTCTCAATATTCAAACGGGTTCATAGATTGGGGTTATGTTTGGGCGTTTGGCACTTACGAAATGTAGATGATTTTTCTTTTTGCATTTTTTTCATTTTTTTTCAATTTTTTTAAATTAATGTTTTTAAACATTTTTTTATTAATTTTTAATATTTTTTACGAATTTTTATTTTTTTATTATTATGAATTAAAACATTTCGATTGCTACAAGGGTATATTTGTCCAACACACACATAATTAGTCCTATGAAACATAATTTATTTTTTGGTCCTATTTGTGCAAACCAACCGGCTTTTGGTCCTATATTGATAAATAACTCATTCTAATGTCCTAAAATAACACTAATAAAAGTAATAAGGATGTTTTTAGGATGTTTTCTTTTGGACTAAAATTTGCTGATCCGGTCTGGTCTGATCTGATTTGGTCTTAACTGGGCTGGTCTGGTAAACGTCTGGTCTGTGTGTATTTTATAACTACAGAAGTCTGGTCTGGTCTGGGACGGAAAACAGTCCAAAAGAAAACATCCTTAATTGGATTAAAATTTTCTGATTTTAACTGATCAGTTTAAGGTTGGTTTGGTCTATTGTGATCTAATTTGATTTTAAAATGTTTGGTTTGGTCGAGACTTAAAACAGTTCCAAGTAAAAAATGTCTTAACACGCCCGAAACTCAATTCCTTATCCCCTCCTCCCATTACCCAAATCCTGAATAGAGTTGCAAAATTGACTTTTAAAGTCAAATAAACTCATTTTGTTTAGTTAAATAGGAAATCAATTCTAAATTAATTACAAGAATTCAAGTACTCTTGATTAGTAGCTACTATTTGACGTGCGTTCTCTTTGGATAATATATAATAGTAGTATACATTTATGGTTGTTAACGTGTAACTGCTAATCTACTACGAGCAGTGCAAGATATTATTTTTATTCTCAATTTGTTGTTTGAAATTTTTAATGAACATGTGACCAATAGATATATGTTGAAAATAAATATTAGCCAATTAAAGTCAAACATACAATCTTCTTTCATTCAATAACACTTTTTATCCAATAAAATCATAATACTATTAATAACTCTTATAAAAATAAAATAATGTCGTTATTGCTTAGAGACTCACCAATTGCTGTCATGCAGTCTACTGTCACTGTCGTCATGACTAATATTAAAATTTAAAGGTCACAAAACTTTTTATAATTTCAGAAGCCAAATCACTAAAATAAATGGGGCAAGTCCCAGACTCCCAGTTGCCATTTAACAAGTATTATAAATAACAAAAAGAAATTTACATGGGGAAAAAACGAAAACAATTTGATAGAATAAAATATTTTTGCAATAATGAAGTTGCGATGTCAACATCTTTATTGACTAATTCACTCTCATTATATATTATGGAGTGACACCAAGACCGTCAAATATTTTCTTATGCTCTATAAGAGAATTTAAAATATAAAAGTGTATTTTATCCCGTGCACGGCACGGGTAAAGATACTAGTTATAATACATTCCCGCCTTTTATTGGCTATTTTCTAATTGTTTCATTTGTTTTTTCATTTCCTTCTTTAATCTTTTCAGTTACTTCCTTTAAAATATTAAGAACTAATCCTACATTTTCAATTTTAAAAAATACTTTCGTAGGTGGTATGTTGAAAATGATACACCAAAACGAGTTGTTAATAGAGTACGTTTTTTTTTTCATCTTCAAATTTTATGTGTAACATCAGCATTATTTTTGTACTTCTATATAAAATTATACGTAGTATATATCATTTGAATGTCCCTTCGGGGACATCCAATAAAATTGGAATGTATATCATTTGAATAAAAATACAAGTTGAGATTAATAATACCAATTTTTCCTATTTGTTATTGGGTCACTGAAATTTATTTGGGTCTCAATTGGTCTAAGGATAATATTAGGGATTATCATTATTTGGGTCTCAATCCGACTATGTCTAATATATTACTAAAAAAGAGTTAGGGATAAAAAGGGACCTTTTTTCTATTTTCGAAAAATGAGACTAAAAATGGGTTAAGAGACTATTATACCCTTATATTAATAGAATCTCACCCATTAGTGCTACAGTAACGTCACAGTGACCAATAATATTATTGTGACCAAAATCCGTCAATGACCAAAAATCATTTGTGACAAAAAATCCAAAAATCTGTCAGCGACCAAAATCATTAGTGACCAAAAATTTTATCTAGTTACCAACGTCAACCCGTCCAATGACCACCATTCGTCAGTCCAGTTACACTAAACGGATCGTTCAGTTACAGTTACCTGACCTGTCCAGTTACACTAAACTACCATGACCAATCCCACCAGTGACCAGGGACTAATCTGGCCAGTGACCAAATCTGACCAATGACTAGTGACTAATCTGGCCAGTGACCAAACCCGACCAATGACCAAACCCAACCAGTGGCCAAACCCGACCAGTGACCGAACCCGACCAGTGACCAGTAACCAATAACCAAACCCGACCAGTGACCAAACCCAACCAATCACCAAACCTGACCAGTGACCAAACCAGACAAGTGACCAGACCCGACCAGTGACCAGTACCCAAACCCGACCAGTGACTAGTGATCAAACCTGACCAATGAGCTCAGTGGTGAGCTCCACTACCCCGACAATAACCTCCGCCTCACCGGTGGTGACCTCTACCGCCCTGGCAGTACCACCACCGTCACCCCTCACCCACCAGCCCCCATCCACAGCCCCCAACCCCCAGTAGCCCCCCAGCACCCCTACAACACCTTCCCCCCAGCCTGCAGCAGCCCCCGCCAGCACCCTCCTCCAGCCCCAGCAGTCCCCAGCATCCCCATCCCTAGCCC